CCCACGGGTCCTCGAAGAGTCCCATAAACACCTTGATTCCCGAGCGGACCGTCCCGACGACGGCCTCCGCCGCCTCGCCCGTGGTGGCCCATGGGTCCGCCACCCGAATGCGCGGACCGTTCGTGGCCGAGCGCTCGGGCGACGCACTGCGGCTTCGGCTGCGGCTCTTCGAGTCGGTCCGGCTCGCGGACGGGGAAGCGTTACGGATATCTGGGGATGAGCCCATGCGACCCGCGCGCCGGAACGGGGCGGGGTCACTTGCGGAGGCGGAAGGTGCCAGCGACTGCTTCGAAGGCGCGCGGACCAAGGGAGGGGATGGGGGGCGGCGAGAGAACGCCGCAGACGCCGAGGGCGCCTCGACCACTGTGGCGGCTGGCTCTATCGCAGCGATCGCGGCCGTGACCGTCGTAGCGGCTGCAGCCTGAGGGGGTTCCGGAGCGGATGGCTCCATTAACGCCAGCGCGGATGCGAGCGTGGTAGTGGTCGTGCGGGGCGACGTTACTGCCGGTGCATCTATGGTGGCCGACGCAGACGGGAGGGGTCGCGCTGACGATGGTGACGCTGCTATCGACGTTGGACTCTTCACCGGAACGTCCATCACCGCAAGGGCCGAAGCAACGGTGACGATCGGGGACGGCGGACCGGGTGCACGTGTCGCCCCCTTCGGCGAGACATGGGTCGGGGATGCTGGACCAAGCGCCGTCCCTGGCCCCACCGCGGGGCCCGCACTCGGACTCGGCGCGTTAGAGCGCCCCGGACTCACCGGAGCCGACCGCTCGCCCTTCCCCGGGTGAATCTCCAGCAATTCCGCCGCCACAGCCCTCAGCTCATCCACGACGCCCTCAAGCTCCGCCACGCGCGCCTGAAGCTCTACGCCAGGCGCGGCGCCTTTGACCACATCCGCGAGGATCCCGACGCAGCGATCCATCTTTTTCGAAAGCGCGCGGTCGCGCTCGCGGAACTGCTGCACCTGGCGTGTCAGCATCGCCAGCTGGGTCTGGCTCTGCTTGGATGCTTCAGGAACAAGCGGAATCGGGGATGTCGAGGGTGGCGTCACGGATGGAGAGCTGCCACGAGGAGAGGCGGGTGGAGAGGAGGAGCGCCATGAACTTTCCGAACGGCGGGAAGGCGTGCCGGCGGGGGGGTATCCGCCGGAGGGAGTCGGAGAGCTAGGGGTCGTGATAGACGGCGACGCTTGGGCGATGCTATGGTTCCATGGGACGGTCGAACGTTTCTTGGGGGTAAGGCGCGCGGCCGGGGACTCAATCGGCTGGCCAGGCGCGAGGGCACTGGCTGGCGCGGGGGAGCGGTTAGAGTTCGAGGCAAAGACGAACGCCTTCTGATTGTACTTCAGACGCAGCCCCCGTGCGCTGCTGATGAATTGAGAAACTGTCGTTCCGAGAGATTCCATCGGAGGGAACTTCATCAGCCCATGCATCGTCATAGAGTAGTCGCTTCCGATCACTACGAACCGAAATTAAGGTCAGTCCTAGCCAGCGGACAATTCACATCTGCTCACCGATCCCAACCCACGGACGGCGCTTAACTCACATTTTCCTCGAAGGAAAATCAACATCGTTACACACACCCACTCCACAAGCGACAAGCTCGAATCCTCGGCGAAAATCCCATCCCACAGCGTGAAAAGCTCCGGCATCGGAAACTCCCGCCCGAAGAGTAAACGCAGCCATCGCCTGAGGGAGAGTGATAGTCAGCATCCGCCCGCAATCGAGAGGGACGTTCAATGCGGAGTTGTTCACTCACAGGCCGTAGAGCTGAGGTTCAACGCCGTGCTTCTCAAGGTGCTGATACAGCTCGAAATCGAGGACGCGGAGCATGTCGTGGTGAATTTTGCGACAGATCGCGACCACGGGTATCGGTTTGACTGTCTGTAATCGTGGAGTTCAAGAGTCAGCGCGAATCCGGTCGACCCGGTCCAGAGACTCCGTCGCACCCCTGCCCCTCAAGCTCTTCAGTTGGTCACGGCCTCATCCTTTAACGCCCACAAACTCACAAATACACTCACCGTGGATGACCCTCTATGCTCTTCAAATTTCGACCCCCGCACGTTGCGTACCGGTTTCGAGACAGGCATTTCGGGCGCCACCTCGAACCAGGGCTTCGCCGCACGCATGAGCCGGTAAAAGAGGACCGCCGAGTCGTGCTCCACGAATTTCGGGTCAAACGTTGCTGCCAACGCTTCGGGAAGGCTAACGTAGCCGGAGTGAATAATCGAGTGGGAGAAAAGTGGACCCGGGGCTGACAGCCTTCGTCCCCCACCGACTCAGCGAATATGCGCAGCGCAAAACGTACCCGCCCGTCCCGTCCCTCGAGTCCAGCTTGTCCCGCTCAACGACTAACATAATCGGACCAAGCAACTCGTGCATCCCTTGCCGATACGAGACATCCGGGTTAAGCTTACACCACACAAAGAGGATTTCAGTCATCGTGTTCTGGACAGCGGGGGTGCGGAAGATGGGCTGGTCGGGGAAGCTGCACACGATTGAGAAAGTCCAATTAGACCAATATTGCAGCGGGGCGGCCGAAGTAGGTGATGTCGCAGGGGACGTTCGCGCAGAAGATTCTACACGACAGGAGCCAAGTGGAGAGACTCACGTTCTTTCGACATCCTGCCGAATAATCTTTTGCAGTTCGGTGTCCTTGAAGTACTGTGTCCACGGGCTCTGCAATCCGGAATCATTTCATTTGAGCAACGGGTTCCAGTCATATGCGGAGACACCAACCGAAACCACAGACACCGAGTCGCCCACCTCTTCAGCCAAACTCAAAGGATTGTTCAACGTCCAATCGTTCGCCTCCATCTGTCGATTCGGGTCAAACATAAACTTCTTCTTCAAATCCGCATATCCGGACCGCTCTTTCGCCAGTATGAGGGGCCACGCATCGGGTGTCAGGCTCGGGAGGTAGTCGAGGTAGACCTGGACGAATACGCGCAGGGGGGAGACCGGTCGGTGGTTCGTCAAGTTGTGCGTTTGCCGTCTCAACCCCGCGCATCACACAGCTCCGCCTCCTCCTCCGGCCCTGCCCCACCTCGCCGTCAGCGCTCCTCCAGCTGGACCAACCTTCCAATACAAGCTCCGCAGGTCCGCGTCCCCCATTTTCCCGTCTAGGCCTTTCCGCTTTATCGTGTCCATAGAGAGGAGGGGATCCCCAAAGAATAGGTCCCATCCTCGGCTTTAGGGGGAGAGGGAGGCAAATAAGCAGACAAGCCAGCGCGGAGCCTCTATATTTGGTCGCTCGGGAGCCCTCAGTGCGAAACGAGCTGCTAATTCAGATGACCACACCCCATGTCGGCACCCCGACAATGGCCCCTGCCACGACCCTCCCTCCCCTAGTAGACGGGTAATACACAGCTCACCGAACGTCGTCTTTGGACCTCATTTGAGGGGCGTCGATGTTTTTGCGAGAATGTCGAGGAAATGCCTCCTGGTGACGCCCGTGCCACAAGCACGTTGCCGCCCAAGAGACACCAAAGGATTTTTGCTTCGCCAGTCTCCACCCCGCCACCGCGCCACAATCCGCCATTGGCGCAGTCCTCTCCTCCGTTGATGCGAACAACTAACTTGTCCCCCCCGTTGCCCTCACCTGCGCGAGGAAAGCCTCTGGCCTGTGAGCAGAGCGGAGGAAGAAGGCAAAACGAACTGGCCTAGACTCAGGGAAAGATGCGGATCGCTGCACAGGTTAATCGGTGTGAGCGGCTGAGACCGGCCAGAGATCAATGCACCCTGAGGCGGGAGGTCGTGATGGTTCCGGCCAGCGGCCCGACAGCAGTCATTGGCGGCCACCACCGGCCAGCGAGGACATGGAGAGCCGAGTGGTGGGTATTGAAAATGCCAGCAGACGATACCCTTCGCAAATCCGCACGGGCATGCGAGGCGGACACGCACAGAACCTCCCTCCTCCTTTTGTTGGAGCGGAGGACACGCAAACAGCAACGCCTTTCCCACCAGTTTGCATGCAGCTCAACCCGATACCCCTTCCACGTTCAACCAAAATTCCAATATGCCACCCATCCCGCATGCGAGCTGGTACCAGGAAGGTTGTGGGAACAAGTACATATTCAGATACACCCGACGTCCCCAAGGCCAACCTCCCTTTCTCCACCCACCCACCTTCCCCGCCCCCGAGCCCAGCCGCACTGGAACACACAGCCCAGGCTCCAGTTTGGTTTTTCAATCACTATCCGATCTCTCACCCCAATCAGCGATGAGACACTTCAGCAAGCGGTTCGGGGTGAACTGGCGATCGAGTGCCGGGTCCATCGCGATTCTGTCGCGGAACGCTTGCTCTTCGTGGTTGACGCCGTTGGAAGCTATGACGAGGAAGCGCATCACCTTTCCGGGGTGGAAGGAACGAGCATAAGTACTCACCGAACGGGCAGCATATGTGAGGAAATGACTCCTTCCCCTGAGCCAATGAAGAAATCACATATACCTCTTGCGTGATGGGGGAGATGAACTCAGGCGGAATCTCGCACCTCGCGCCCGAGGTTTTGCGGCTTTTGGAGAGATGGTTGATGAAAATGATTGCACCACGGCAGGATGGAGCCTTTGTGACCTGTTCTGCTTCCCCTTCCCGCCAGGTTCTCCGTCCCCTCCCCGCCCCTTTTCCGAAATAAGACGTGATATTGCATGATCATCCCCCCCCCCCCCCCCCACCCCAAGAAAATGTCGACACTCCTCTGAACCCCTGTGCCTGCCCAGCCCCTCCCCCCCTCCCACTAGTCCCAGTCCCACCTGCGTGCAAGATGCAGGTGGTAAGACCTTCGATCAGTCGCACCACCATAATTGCACTCTTGGGACTTTTCTCTTCACAAAAGACTTTGAGCCCCGGTACCCGTGCGGATGCGCACCATATGATCTAGTCAGAAGTGAGCGACGTTGGAAGTGTTGGAAGGGCTGGAAGGGTTCATTTGTTCAGTATCGACCACGAAATAAATGTTGAGATATATAACGTGCTGTGCCTTACAGATTAATACCCCGCTCTTAACTCAGTTGGTAGAGTGGCAGACTGTAACGGTTACGGTGATCTGTATGTCCCCGGTTCGAATCCGGGAGGGCGGATATTCCTAATGGAGAATCATCTGAGTACTTTTACTATTGTGTACATGTGCCTATCTTTTGGACGTGTCTTTTCATTAACTAATTGAACAATGTCGTGCAAATTACTTTCGGACAAGTGTTCGTGGGAGGTGTTGCTGTATGATGTTTTGTCAAAGGCTGATGCGATGATTATTTGGCACCGCCCTTGATGATTGGCACTGCCCGGTTGCGCCCGGCTCGGCTCTCAGAGCATGACAGGCAGGCGGATCCGAGCCCCTCGCCTTTTGCATTGTGCTGAGCGGCAGACACCAATTGGGCGCGGAAGGAAGGTCGGACGGTCGGACTCTCGACGGCCAAGTGAGGGATTTCTGCCTCCTCCAGTCGGATCGTCGCGTCACTTGCCATCACCCCCCCCGCCATTGTCACTCCCCGCTAAACACTTTCCTGCAGCACTGCCATGCAGCCAAACAGAGAGAGTGCTCAGAACCTCAAGTAAGTCGCTATATAAAGCTCAAACTGAGCAAACCCCCAGGCTCAACAACCCCCTCTTCCTCAATAACTCACTCTCCAGAGGCCGAATATGGTCAAACCCTCAACCCCCGCCTTCCTCCTGGCGTCCGCCACCGTGGCCCTTGCCCAAGGCCAAGCTGGCCCCCAGCAGCCTCCTTCCGGAAACCAGCCCGGTGTCTACGGTGAGTGCCGAGGCCGCGCCTTGCCCGAGGAGGGGGGGTGGAGGGGGGAGGGGGAGGGGCGTGGCCACATATTTGTTGAGCTCGAGCCCTTCGAGCCTCCGTGATCCCTGGCCAAAGCAAGGCCACCATGTTGTTTGCCCGCGAGGGGGTAGCGGATTGGCGAAAAAAAAAATCCAGTTGGAGCCACGATCCCCGAGCCTCCTCGACGTAGTTCAAACTTAGCCGCGCCCGTTGCCTTTCCTTGACTAATGATAAAACCCACCTCCTCCAATAACAGCATACACGCCCTCGACTACGCCGTGCACCACCCCTCTTGTCCGCAGGGAGTTCCGCGAGCTTTCCGAAGCCGATCGCCAGGGGTACCTCCAAGCTGTTCTCTGCCTCCGTTCCTCCCCCTCCAGGTTGGACCCGTCCCTCGTTCAGTCTCCCTCTGCTTGGGATGACCTGGTCTGGGCCCACTGGCAGGCGCAGGACCAGGCGCACAACACCGTTCGTATCGTTTGGCTAATCAAAATTGAGGTTAGGAGAGGGGAAGGCACTTTCGTTACTTATTGCCTTTTTTCCAATACCGCAGGCCGCTTTCCCCCCGTGGCACCGAGTCTTCCTCGCCATCTACGATGCTGCTCTTCAGACCTGCAACTGGACTAATGGCCCCGTCTGTAAGTATTTGCCCTCGCGAGGAATTTATTTTAATTGGCGTGTACCTCCTCAATCTTGTCGTACGTCGATGTACCCAACGCGTGCCCCACCCACTCATCACCTCGCATCTTCCTTAGACTACGACTGGTCCCACGACTCTCAGGCCCCGGAACAGTCCGAAATCTGGAGTGACAAGTACTTCGGTGGGAACGGTTCCCCGGACCCATCGGGCTGCATCCAGTCCGGCCCCTTCTCCAACATTCAAGCGACTTTCCCTACTCCCCACTGCGTCAACCGCCAATTCCAGACCGGATCCGCTGAGGACCCCTCGAACACCCAATACGGCGATATGATCGGCGCGCAGTTCTCGCCCGTCGAGCTCGAATTTATCATCGACGTTAGCGACTACGACTCCTTCCGTCAGGGTCTTGAGGCACACCCCCACAACCAGTTCCACACCGCTGTCGGTGGTGACCTCACCGACCCCCGCACTAGTGTTAACGGTGAGCTTCCCTCCTTATTCTTTTTTGAAAGGTTCGAACGCGAAGCATACACTCACCCCTTCCTACCAGACCCAATCTTCTTCTCCCACCACTGCAACATCGACCGTTGGTACTGGAAGTGGCAGCAGGCGAACCCCAGCACCGCCCACACCTACGCGGGGAACACCAACCCCCAAAACCCCGGCACTGAGGATGCGCAGATTACCGATATGCTGACTTTCTACGGAATGTGGCCCGACACCCCGGTCTCCCAAGCTGTTGACCCCCAAGCGAACGGCCTGGTGAGGATCGCCCAGTTTTTGAGCCTTTCGCCCGATCTCGTCATTTTCCCTTACTAACTCCTGCCGCCCACTTCTAGTGCTATACCTACTCGAAGTCCATCGCTCCGGCTTCCATTACCGACCCAATCGACGAGACCATCACCGGCGACCTCCAGTCCGAACGCGCCAATGGACCCGTTGCTGGACAAGGTGGACCCGGCGGACCCAGCGGACCCGACGGCCCTGTTTTCGGTCCCGGTGGCCCCCAGAGCCTGGCCAAGCGCGACTACGCGACCCTCCGCTCCGGCTTCAACGCCTACAAGGCCGCCCAGTCTGGCTCGTACGGCTCCTCCGCCCCTCCTCGCTACCAACCCAACTACGTCAAGCACGCCTACGGCCCCAAGGGTCACCCGTCCAACCCCCACACCCCCCACCCGTACGACCGTGACGACCAGTATAAGTAAGTTGCCTCAAACTTTTGCTTCCTACGTTCGGTTGTTGTCCACTTGGCCCGTTCCTAACTCCGCATTCTTCTCTTCCCCCTTATTTTTACCCTTAGCCTCCGCCACCACCAATACCTCGACGAAGGCTTCCTCCGTCGCATGAACTACGACGATGAGCGCATTGCTAAGATCCGTTACGAGGAAGACCACGTAAGTGCTTCGTTGCTCTTGCCTCTCCCGCCTGTCTTTATCTTCCGTTTACATTCACTCACTCGCCTAACGCCTCTGCTCCCTTCCCCGCGTCTGAACAGCTCCACGAGTTCGTTGACTACGTGAACGCGGTCGACGGTTTCGTCTCGCACTCTGCTCTCTACCACACGGTTCACGGCCAGTACCGCCCGTACACCGACGAGGAGGACTACACCCAGACCTCGCTGCGCCGCACCCTCGTCTACGCCGCCCAGCAGCTTATCGGTACCTTCCACCACCAGACCCGGTCTGATATCAAGGGCTACCTCCATAACAACGGCTACGTTGACTACGTCGGATCCATTATCGGCTACGTCGGCTCCGGTGTCCAGTACGGCTACCAGCAGGCCAGCTCCGGCGCCCAGTATGGCTACCAGAAGGCGAAGAGCTACTTCGCCTCTGGCCGCTGGTAGACTGCTGCTTCATACCCGCCCCTCACTCCATACACTGCACATCTTATCCCCCCTTCTCCCCCTGCTTCGCCTCTCCCCTTTTGTTTGTTCTCTTTCTCCCATGCATATAGCTTTGTACACACGGGAATGTTACTTTTGAAGGCAGGAAATTCTGCTTGAGTTGGCCGAAGGACTGTTTTGGCCCTTCCCTCATTTGGCTCTTTGTATCTCCTTGCTACAAGTAACAGATTGGATTGTACGCTTCCCAACATTTTGTAAATGAACCTACGAAGAAAGTTTCGCATGTCGGGTTGTCTGTCACTCGCCACTGCGCCGCAGCCTGCAGGCCAGTAATTGTCGCGCGTGTCGGGGTCGGACATTTGGACGAGAATTTTTTGCTCGTCCTCATGTCGCCCGCCCCGTTCGCCTCCGAGGCTTCACGGACCAGCGGTTTCGCACTTCCACCCGCCCTCCATCTTCTGCCCCAACCGCTCCCCCTCCTCAATCAACGCCACGCAGTCCCTCACACCCAAAAAAAGGCTGTTGGGCATCTGAGCTTAGATCTTGGTGAGGGGCCGACATTTTATGTGGACGCGCCTGGCAAGCCGGAGGCAAAGCGTGGGCTGTATCCCTGCGGGGGAAAGCGACCATTTGGAGGTCAACCCCCCCCGTTCCCATCACAACGCCCCCACTTCCTTCACCCGGGCACGTCGCCATCTGCTGCTCTGACCGCGCCACCCAACTTCCAGGCTTCCATCTTCCGCTTCATCTGCTCGCTCTCCATCTTTTTTCGCTCTCGTCGCGCTTCAGAACGCCCCGTAACGAAGGTTCGCGGCGATCTGGTGGATCTTGGGGAGAGGCGACGAGTGACTGTTGATGGGGACTCGTCGGGCATGGGACAGACAAGATGTTTCCACGCCATGTGGGGGGACGTGTGGGGTCTTGTGCCTGAGGGCGTGGAAGCGACCAATTTGGGCACGAGCCGGCTTCCCGACCATGTTCATTCGGCAGTCTCAGCTAAAGCTTACCCGCCGTGTTCACTCCCCCCTATTCTCTCCATCCAGTTGGCGGGGCTCATGGATACGATCCCGGATGATGAATGCAGTTGCACCTTTACGAGGACACAGCAATCCTCAAGTAAGTCATCTTCCACCACGCACCCCCTCGCCCCAACCCCTCCTTACTGATAGTACCCCAGATAGTCCCAT